ATTCTGTCTAGCTAAGCTCGAAGATGCCCAAGTACATCTCCTAGATTGCTCATGTGGGAGAGCTAACAATGCCAAGTATCCAACCCGTCCTTGTCCACTAGATCCAACATGCTCTCAAGGACTCAATCATGGATTAAAATCCTACATCACTGGTGGCAAGCTGCCCAAGGACGAGGCTGAGGCAAGAATTGTAAATCTCTAAGCTTCAAGCTACATTGTCATGCAGGATAAGCTGTATAAAAGATCTTACAACGACACACTTCATGTAAGCCATTTACGAACTTTACAATCAATAAAGAAGAATTTCTTCCTAACTGTTTTCTACCGATGCCACTTTGTAAGCCCTAAAAAGAACTGGCCAAGATAAGCCGAGCAAAGGTGGCTCTTCAGCCAACAATGTAAAGTGAAGCCACTATGTAAGCCTTCAACTAGAAGCTTCTCAAGTCATATAAGTCATGGCAATCTGTAAGCCCTCTCAAAATAGGCTCTTTAGCCCAACAATCAAATCAAGACCCCTATGTAAGCCTTTGCAACAAAACTGAGGCAACTCTATAAGCCATCGTCAAAGCAGCTCCTCACTGCACCAATCCAGGCCACTATGGCACTATGTAAGCTCTCGCAACAAACTAAGGAAACTCTGTAAGCCCTCATCAAAGCATCTTTTCAGCGCACCAATAAAGGTAACTTTGTAAGCCCTCAAAACATGGGACACATGGGACACACAACCTTTACGGCTCCCTAAACGTGTCTCCCCTTAGCATTAGCCGCGTGGGAGATAGAGGCCAAGTCGAAGGGTTGGGCTACTTGACGGCCACTCCTCGAGGAGATACTCTTGACACTTGACTAATATGCTTTTCAACAAGAGGTACTATTCTTTCTGTTTCTTAAAACTTTGTTATATTTCAACTTTGATTATCCAAAAACTTTATCATTTTTCTTTATAATCGACTAATATGTGTTTTTAATTATTTTCCTCTCCTATACTCAAAGTTCAGTTACTTGACAGTTACTTTATTACTTCCTCCGTCCTATTTTAAATGTCTCGTTTTACTATATTGGGATGTCCATATATAATTGTCACATACCTTATTTGGTAAAGTTTGTGTGCCTCAAAATCATTCTTACTTTATTCTTACTTTATCAATTAATATCAACCACACGAACTCATTTTTCTTAAAACTCGTGTCACCCTCTTCCGGAACATTTAAAAGGGGACGGAGGTACTACGTAGTATTTACTATGTATTCTTTTCATCTAAAAAGGTAAGTCATGTTCACTTTTATAGATCAATGATAGTCAACTTTAATCAATTACTCCGTATATTTTAAAACAAAATTATTTTGAATATGAGAATTATATTAAAATAATTTCTATTAAATATATAAAATTTGTAAATTATATATTCCGTATAATTATTTTGAGTATAATACTCGTATACACTATACAAGTACAGATTCAAAGGTATTAAGCGAAGTACGTTCCTGAAAGGCTGAAACCCTATTGTTCGTCCATCACGCCTCCGGATTGTGTGTACCCACCGAAAGATTTTTGCGTTTGGATCAGATGTACTGATCAAGCCCAACCCGGGTGGAACCCCAAAAAAATGAAAAAAACATCAATCAATGTGGCCCGAACCAGGCCTCCTTTTCATTGACCTGAGCCCGTCCCGCTTTTCCTAGCTAACCGGGCCTTAGACCGGTTTGGGGCCCGCAGCACCGGGCCGGTCCGGTCCCGCATAGTAGCGGGCCGGGCCGGGTGACCCGAACCGAGTCCAGAACTAGTCTAATCGCAGCTGTTTCTTGTAAAATTGGCTTTAAGGTCATTTAAGGACATGACTTGGCTTTGGGTAGTCAACCTGTCCTGTAGCTTTGCTTTACGTTTGTGTATGAAACAGATTTGGAAATTGAACCAATCTTGTAACTCGGATTCCAGGCTATGGTAAGAAATATCTTTGGTATGTCAACTAATCCGGTAGCTTGATAGGGAAGCTTTAACTTGGCTAAATAGCTTGGGTGGTCATAACTCATACGGCTGAGCTTTCAATGGAGCTTCCAATGGTTTAAGGTCTGTGTTCGTTGACATTGTTCATAGGCATGGTGGACTCGCAATGATTTGCACATTAATATGTATTTTTTTTCTGGAGAGATGACCATATTTTTTAGCTTAAAGGTCTTATCAACCAACTTTTCACCGAACACATAACTTTTAATTTCACACGTTGAATTGTGTAATAATGAAAAGAAGTAGTGGAGTTCTTTTTTGGCTGAACTTGTTGAAGTTACTGCAAAGTTGATTTTAGCTATTCGTTCATAATTTTTTCTTTACTTTATTAATAATTTTCTTTTTAAATATTTTTCATACATCATCAGAATCAGCCAGTTCAGCTAATGTAGTTAGAATTTCACAAGTTTCAACAAAATTAACCAATTCAGCCAATTTCAATGTTACCAAGTGGGCGGTTATTGACTTATTGTCTGTGCAAATATTGATGTTTGTAATAGTACATTGTTTATATGTCAAATATATGTGCCATTATATTAATTTAACACATTTTGTTTGTCCACTAACTTTTCGAACAGAATTTTTTGGAAATTTGTACCACAACTTTGTAGTACATTAAAAAATTAACCAAACATGCATCACGGCCTCTCGGGCTACAAACCAGTTCTGTACAGCCATATTGAATTACAGGCACAGACGTGTCAAGAACGAAATAATGACCCACGTGCATAAGAAAGAGTTCTATTTTGTTCACCCCTTCATAGAGGGTGAACATCACCCCCTCCCTCCAACACATGACATTTGGCATTACAATTGCAAAATTTAAAAGTCTTGCCAAGTGTCATGTGTTGGAGGGAGGGGTGATGTTCACCCTCTATGAAAGGGTGAACAAAATAGAACTCCATATGAAATCGACTAAAGGAAAGCCAATTGCCCTCTCACAGCTTCAATAACCAATCAGTGCCTCCCCAACTGGCATTGGATAGCAAATTGCATCAAAAGACAAATCCAAATTGTTCACTTGTCGCCCAAAAGAAAATAAAAAAGATAAAGAATATAATAGAGGGATAGGAATTATGAGTGGAGGAAGAAAATAAACAGAAGCTTTGAAGAGAAATTTGGATGAAATATTAATAGAAGTTCCATAAATACAACTAAAATAAGGATAAAGTTCCTAAATGGAATTATCCTATTTTCAAAATAGGTTTCATTCAATTTAATACAAAAAACGATATGCAAATTTAGAACTAAGATAAATCCTATTTTCCTAATTCCATTTTCACCAGATTAATTCAATATATTAATAATTTAGAAAGCACTCATATTATTGAAAATTTAGATCAATTTATTCTTTTAAAAGGAGTTAATAAATCTTAGTTAGGAAAGAAAATATATTCGCTTGTATTTTAGGATTTCGTCTATTTTTTATTTCATATTGAGAAATTTCTCAATATTAATTGTAATAGTTTGCCGTTTCAATGCATGTTGAAAGGCGAACATATAAAATATGCGTAAATTATATGTTCAATTACCAATATAAACATTCTTTATTTGTATTTAAACCAAATTAAAATTCACTCGGTACTCATAAACGGATAAAAATTGTAAGTACTTTTTCTAGGATAGAATGTTCGTTTTTTAAGATAATGTGTAGTTTTGCCATATTTTTGAAATTTCTTATATGATGGTGCTCCCTCCTAATAAATTTCTAAAATCAAATCAAATATAATCAATGAATATATTACGAGTATTAAATTCACATTTATTTTTTGACTGTAAATTCCAATGTATTTAGAAAAGTAGACATAATATGTACTGTTTAAATAGAAAAGGACTTTTTTGAAAAATGCAAAAAAAAAAAGAACATTTTGAATAGAAGTATATTATTTCAAATTTTATAATTAATAGAACAAGAGTAATCCTTTCCGTATACCTTGATTTTATACTTTCTTAGCCCTTAAAATTTTGACATCTTTGAATCTATATATTTTATTGAAAATTACTTATAATATAAAAATGATATGAAAATGAGAGAATTCCCTAAATAGGAGTAAAAACGTTTTGAAATTCCAAAATAGGAGTATCATGTTTTTTATTCCTTGAATATGAGTAATCTGCCAAGTTTGGAAGAAAATGTCATGTTTAAAAGTCTTGTAATGCCAAACTTGGCAGAAATTTACTTCTATTCAGAAAATTAAAAACATGTTAGGATGTTTTTACTTGGACTGTAATTTGCCCCAGACCAGACCAGACCAGACCAGTTCAGACCAGACCAGACCAGTTCAGACCAGACCAGACCAGACCAGACTTGTATAGTTATAAAAATACAAAGAAAACAGACCTTACCAGACCAGACCAGACCAGTTCAGACCAGACCAGACCAGATCAGACCAGAACAGACCAGACCAGCAAATTACAGTCCAAGTAAAAACATCCTTACTCCTATTTTGGAATTTCAAAACGTTTTTACTATTATTTAGATCAATTTTCTGTATGAAAATGTTAGTTTTTAAATATAATTTAAAAAATTAGTAATTTAATAACAGTATAAAATTTATGATTTCTATAACACTCCCTCCGTCCCGCAAAGATGTTCCCGCTTTCTTTTTTTGGATGTCCCAAAAAAAGTTCCTCTTTCCCTAAATGGAAAGTTATCCTACATCAAAACAGTGCAAAACAGTGTCAAACAGTGTCAAACAGTATCCAAACTGTATCACTATCAGTTGAGCTACGCCCCAAACCCTTGTGCCAAAGAGGACCAAAATAGTTGTTCCACGATGGGAGGATGTAAGTTGGACTATAATCACAACCTGACAGATAGAGAGTGGAGCTCCGTTCCCGGTACTTGCAGAGGCCCTATGCATTTTCAGCATAGTAACCCCTTATCGCAGTTGCCGGAATCCGAACCTGAAACATAACCCTTGTGGCACTCTCTCGCTGCCGGTTAAGTTACGTCCACTGGTACAACAAGTACTTTTATTAAGTGGTACACCTGACCTTTTCAATTATTTCTGGGTTGGTGTGAGACCAAAGATGGCAGAAACTTTACGGTAATACGGTAATACCTGCCACCTATTACCACTCCAGAAGTTAGAAGGGAGTTGGCCGATCATCTGCATCAAAACCCAACAAAACTCTTTCAACCTTCAAGTCCTTCCCTCTGCCAACTTCCAACTTCATAGGCGCCTCCTCGCTTTGGCGTTCCATACTATTCCAGTTTGATTACAAGTTTTTCAAACATGGAGAAATCGACGCTCACCGGACTTCTCGAGCATATCGCCGGAACTTTCCCCTCCCGAACAGCCATATCCGTTTCCGGCATGTTCGATCTTACGCATTCACGCCTTCACCACCTCGTCGAACGCGCCGCTTCTTCCCTCTTCACCGCCGGCGTTAGGCCTGGCGATGTCGTCGCTCTCACCTTCCCCAATACCGTCGAGGTTCGTTGACTCTTTCATTGTTCGATTGCCTAAAAAGATACTAGCAATATGATGAAATTTGGCATTTGGAACGGGGATTAAATTCGGAATCCATCATCAACACTTCAACAGAGGATAAGAGAAAGCTTAATCGCACTTTTCACGCATTTCTATGGTATATACTTATGTTTAGTTGAATGAATTTGATCGTTGATTTTCATTGTTACAGTTTGTGATAATGTTTCTGGCAACTATTCGGGTTAGGGCTACGGCTGCCCCGCTGAATTCGGCCTACACGGCAGAGGAGTTCGAGTTTTATTTGTCCGATTCCGAGTCGAAGCTGTTGTTGATTCCGAAGGAAGGAAACGAGGCGGCTCAAGCGGCTTCCGCCAAGCTCAATATTCCAGCCGTTACAGCTACACTTCCGGGCGCTGAATCGGAGATCGCTCTCTCTCCAGCTGTTCCAGATTCGAATCCGGATTCGATCTCGAATCTGATTAACGATCCGTCTGACGTTTCACTGTTCCTACATACATCCGGCACCACCAGCCGCCCCAAGGGCGTTCCATTGACTCAGTCTAACCTAGCTTCTTCAGTGAGCAATATTAAATTGGTTTACAAACTCACCGAGTCGGACTCAACTGTAATCGTTTTGCCTCTGTTTCACGTTCACGGGTTGATTGCCGGGTTGTTGAGCTCGCTCGTAGCCGGCGGGTCCGTGACGCTCCCAGCTACCGGGAGGTTCTCGGCGTCGACTTTTTGGCCAGACATGAACAAGTCCAACGCCACTTGGTACACGGCCGTGCCGACGATACACCAAATCATTTTGGAGCGCCACCTCAGCAAACCCGAACCCGTTTACCCGAAGCTCCGCTTCATCCGGAGCTGCAGTGCTGCTCTGGCGCCGTCAATATTGACCCGGCTGGAAGAAGCGTTTGGGGCGCCTGTTCTGGAGGCGTACGCAATGACGGAGGCGACCCATTTGATGGCATCGAACCCGTTGCCCGAAGATGGGCCTCACGTGCCAGGATCCGTCGGGAAACCCGTGGGTCAAGAGATGGCAATCCTGGATGAGAATGGTGTGGTACAGGAGGGAGGGACTACCGGAGAGGTTTGCATTAGAGGATCAAATGTGACAAAAGGGTACAAAAACAACCCAGAAGCCAATAAGTCAGCTTTTGAATTCGGGTGGTTTCATACGGGAGATCTTGGATACATTGGTTCTGAAGGATATTTACATCTTGTCGGCAGGATCAAAGAGATGATCAACCGAGGGGGTATGTATGCACGTAAATATGTTCTAGTCCTTCCTCGTAAAATACTTTTTAAATTCTATGTTATTACAGTTATTTACAATTGAAAAGTGTTATTTTAGGGGAGAAAATATCGCCCATTGAAGTAGATGCTGTGCTGGTATCCCACCCAGACGTTGCTCAAGCGGTAGCTTTTGGAGTCCCTGATGATAAGTATGGCGAAGAGGTAAGAGATCAATTGCATTTAAATTGGTTCTATCCAATTACATTCCTGACTGTGATATAGATTCCCCCAAGTGCAAATGTTGCATTTTTTTATTTTTAATACAAAGTAAAATACGTAGTGGGAAATAATGATGTAGGTCCCAATTACACGACGGGAATGTGATTATTTGAAATCAGTGTGGATTGCATTATTGCATCCACGGATCCACCAAGCAAAATGGCTTAGCTGCATTATTGCACCTAAAAAATGCTGCACGCCAGTTTGCAAGCTTGTTTACACATGGATGTATTTTGAAGGGTACTGTCTGTGATTCCTCCCAAAATATCCGTGTATATACAATTCACTTTTTCAAAGATTACAGACAATTCTCATAATCTCATTATTAATATGAAAATCACAAAATGTACTCGGTGTGTAAACAGGCTTGTAAGTCGTCATGTACACAGCATTTTTGTTCATCGTATATGTTGTCAAGAATATATTCCCACTTGAGATTAAAATATACTAGATTTCACCTATCACTAATAATTGGTACTCCATAATATATTTTATTTGATGTATGTTAAAACGATTGGTTGAAATTATTTAAGTACACATTTGATATGTAAAACTATTAGCTACCTGCCTCTTAAAGTTGGGATTATTTATTATCCATATCAATTTAAAGCTATTTAGAATCTGGCAGGGAGTGAACAACATTAACACTAGTCTGCAAAGATATTAAAGCTAATGCCACCATGACCATACATAGTTGAAACCCCTGGCATGCTATATTTTATACGAGCAGTAGATTATTGTGTATGACAGATCCTACTTTGATTTTTACCAGATAAACTGTGCAATTATTCCAAATGAAGGAGCAAACATTAATGAGGAGGAAGTGTTGAAATTCTGCAAGAGGTATCTGGCAGCCTTCAAGGTTCCAAAGAAGGTGTTCTTAACTGATACTCTGCCTAAAACTGCCACAGGCAAAATCTTGAGAAGACTAGTGGCAGAGCATTTCCTTGCACAAATCTCCATTGCTAAGCTCCCCAAGATTAGTGTCTAAGAATGTCTTCTTCGCCCCTCACCACCCAACAAAAAGGGGGTTGGGGCAACATATCGCCATTATGTACCTTTGCTATTTATGTTAGCCAAAATATTTCATAAAACAAAACTGCATGAAGTTAATATCCTTCTAACAGTTACCATATGGCGAACCTGTAATGTAACATCATATATATATATTTTTTAATAATAATGGCTATTTTTTAATAATTTATGTGGGTTGAGACGAGTGTGTTCGAGGTTGGAAAACCAAGTAGTGATATTGTCAAAAACACCATGGTCATTCCTTATTTGTACACTACCAACTCAAATACTTGGTCTTCCCACTGGCTATCTCACTTTGACCTTACTCAGAAACCATGTAATGCGTAAAGGTAATTCTCATGTTCTCATGTGTTTGAAGTTGGAGATGAAAATTAAAGACAGAAATGGATGAAATTCCAGGTTGAATAGCACACAACAATCCCCACTTCCTTAAAAATACTTGATTCAGTTTCTGTCATGCAAACCACTTATTACACAGAGCACGAGGCTTTATACATATAACTGTATATACACAAACACCCCCCCCCCCACCCCCACAAAAACAAATCCCTTCTTAGACCATATATATAATGTTGTTCACTGCCCAGATTCCTGAAGTCTTCTTCTCTCACCCACTGCATTCTCATCATGAACCTCTTCAGCTCTGGAGACTCCAACCGTTTTTTCTGCATTTTCAAGCAAGTTTAACAAGAGCAACAAACGAGTGATAAATATCTAACTAGAGAATGGCATTAAAGAACAGGAATATACTATTTCACGTTAAATTACCATCTGTGTGATGTGTGGCAGCCCTCAACTCATCGTCTCTCCCAAGCCATGAGTTAACTGCACCTTTCAACATATCCACCATTCCCTTCTCTTCACTTCCTTCTTTTGGCGTATCATCAAGAGGACCCAATCTCTCTGCAACTTTCTTGGATTCAGTCACTCTACCCATTGGCCTAATATCTTTCCCAGTTTCCCCTGTTTTCTCCGCCTTCTGTCTTGAAAGGGTTCCCGAAATCATGTCAGACAGTGCTTTGTCTTCCTCCCCGGGCTTTAATTTTTCTGCCAAGTACTCCTTCATAGACACTCCTTTGTCGCTCTTAACATTTTCCTCATTTCCTTCTTTCACTATAGCCTGTCCTATTCCCGGGCCTTGAACTTTCGACATCAATGTACTTCCTGCAGCTGTTACTTTATCATAAACAGGTGCTAGTTTCTCTTTCACTGTGCTTGTAACGCTCTTTCCTCCTCCCTGCTGGTCATATTCATCTCTGCTTGTTTCCTTTACCCGCTGTCCACTCCCACCTGGTAGAGGAAGTTTTTCCATCACAGCACTTCCAGCACCTGCAACCCTCTCATAGACTGGTGCTAGTTTCTCAGCCACTGCAATTGCTGCACTCTTTGCATACTCGGCACTTCTCCCAGCATAGCTTCCTCCTTGTGGAGCTGATGGTCTCCCATTAACTGGATCAACCGGAAGGTCTTCAGGTTTGCTGGGATCAAATCTCTTCGGGATTGATTCAGTGTCTTTTGAAGACATAGAGTCTACAGCCGCAGATTGATCCGGAGCAAACTGGTCATGGCTTCCGGTTGTTGTTCTTGATTCTGGCTTACCAACTTCCATATTCTCAAATGACTGAATTAGCGGACTAATCCCAGCCTCCACACCTCCTGTCAGTTTTGCCCAATAATCATTTAAAAGCAATATTAGACATATCAGTTAGATGATAAAATGATAAAATTAAGCTCTCACTTGCTCCTTCTTTGTCACAAGTGTTCATATTTATTGCTCGTTTGAGCTTCAATTGATTCCAATACATATTAAGCCTTTTAAAGATTGTAAATAGTAGTCCCAAAACTAGATGCTCAAGTCATTATTCTAAATTTCATAATGCTATTGTGAATTAAGGATGTAAGTTTGGCCTTACCCGCACCAGTTGGATCAATAGTTTTACTCTGATAGTTTGAAGGCGCGCGGGGATGGTTCGAGGGGGCTTGAGGATCCTCCTCAAGACCGACGGGTGCACCAATTTTCGACACCTCAGGCTGCTGCTGCAAAAGATCTCCAGGGTTTCTATGGGCAGAACTTTGATTAGTAGGTTCAGGAACAGACGGTTGATTGTGCTTATGTAAAGGCACACGGGTGATTCCTCTGGTATGTTTGGACTCTAGTTCTTCACCAGGTTTGATAATTCCTTCGTCTTTCAACCCTAAACCATGATGATCTTTCCTGGGACTAGTTGGTTTAACGATTGGCTTCTCCACATGTCCAAAATCATCAAGGGTTTTGTGGCGTATGGCAGTACCGCCAATCGCACTATCACCGCCAACTGATCATCATCAATAAGAGTAATTAACCACAAAGCATCATGATTAAACCTCACAAAAGCCTAAACTAGTGCAAAATTGAAGGTATGAATTGATTAATTGGTGACATACTATGACCACCATGGACGTCTGGGTCAACCTCCATTTCATCATCGTCCTCGAGTGATTCATCACCGTCGTGATCGTGGGCATGGCCGTGATGCTTGAGGGTGTCCTTTATCTTCTTGGCCTTCTCCTTCACTTTCTTCAGCACGGATTTCTTGTCATGATGATGCTCGTCATGACCACCACTCTCTTCCTCCTGGATCACTGCATGCGCCCAGGCAAAAAGTTTTTTTGAGCTCTTGTGAAGAAGATTTTTATTGAACTACTTTTTGTTAAATGAGCTTTCAGGATTCTCGAAAAAAAATAATGAGCTGTCGGGAAGTTTTTGTTAAAATATGAGGCTAGAGATGTTTTCTTTTGGACGTTAATTTGTGGGTCTGATCTAATATGTTTAAGACTGGCCCTGTAAATGTGTGTATTTTATAATTGTCCAAATCTAGTCGGGTCGGGTCTGTTTAAATGATTAAGTCTGGTCTCGGGTCTGGAATCCAAAAGAAAACATTCTAAGAAAACATTCTAATTGTAGTACGTGTGTAGTCCCCTTCTATCCGAGGAGGATAGAATCGGTTGAGGTTTAATTCTTGATTTAAAAAAAAAAATATCTCATTCAAAATTTGTTTAACTCATTTAGCTACGAAAGAAATTATTTGTGCATACTTTATTGTATGCACCGGTGTACATGTCGGTACATCTTGGTGAACAGGATTTTTTGTCTATCTTATTTTGTCTGTGAATCACATGTTCATAATGTTCACCGCCGTAATGTTTTGAGATATAAAAAATAGTCTGCACATATGTATAGTACTGACATGTATAAAAAATGTGTACAACAAGAAGTTTCTTTAACTGCATGCCTAATGTTGTTGTGCCTGCAGATTTCATGTTGAAGTTTTCTCATAGAAAAAATATGAATCGATAAAGCAATATTTTTTAGAGCGATGTCTATCTATCTCAATGAATTGGTAACTTCACAGTTCACACAATAGAACAGTTTATTTGGCCGGTAACAGTTTAGAACTCCACTAGCTAGTTTCAACCATCTAAAGCTCATTCAACAACTTTTGCAACTTCAAATCTTACAACAATAATGAAGAAAACCCAATTGGCTATAAAAGAAAGAATCAACTTAAAACTCAATTTAATTAATATAAACACAATTAATGTAACCTGATGGGCGCACCACACCGCCTCTACCGTGGGTTTGACCTTCATCATGCCCTCGAAGAATCTGTGTCTCATCCATTCTATTGTTTCGTGTTGGTTGAGATAGAAGATCGATAATGAATCTTTATTACTACGAGAAATAGGATAAACTGAGGTAAGAAGAATTGATTGAAGTTCATTCTTAAAGATGAATAGCTAGCTAGCTGGGGATAAGGGTACGTGACCGCCGCCGCCGCATGCATGGCGGTGGCAAGCAGAAAGGACTACACGTGTTAAATGAGGGTGATTGTTTCCACTGTGGGACCGACGCGTGGCACAGCATCACATGATCCAAACGAAGATGTGGCAGCCAAGGAATTTAAGCGCCTACCTTCTTTCTATACGTATAACAATGTAATTAAATAAACGATACTCCCAAAAAACTTTGATATTTTGAAAACTTTGATTAATTATAAACTTTGAAAATTATTTATAATATAAAAATTATATGAAAATGTTCTTTGTTAAAAGTATTTTATAAAATCATAAAATTTATAACTTTCATAATATTATACTAATGAAAAATCATGAAAAAGTTTTTGGGGACAAATGTAGTACTCCCCCGTCCCATTTTATTTGTCTTACTTTCCTTTTTGGGTTGTTCTAAAATAAGTGTCTCCTTTCCTTTTTTGGAAAGAAATATGTGGCCTACAACATTTAACTTTATTATACTCAAACATCATCCACAACTTTTACTTTTTCAACCACTTCATTAATAACCGTGCCGAGTGAAACTAAGACACATAAAATGGGACAGAGGTAGTAGTGATTATTACATATTCTACGTCCATACTCACATTTAAGAATGTTTTCTTTTGGATTGTTTTCAGTCCCAGATCAGACTAGACGAGACCATATCAGACTAGACCAGATCAGACCAGACCAGATCAGACCAAACAAGAATTCCGTTGTTATAAAGTACACAGAGACCAGACGTTTATCAGACCAAACCAACAAATTTCACTCCAAAAGAAAACATCGTTTGGCATCGATGTATTATGTATTCTTTCCTTGGCTTAAATTTGGATTATAACAAAAGTTGGAAGATGTGTAATGTAAAGTGATGCCGTTTTAATGATCATCCCAATTTATTGGCATGCTTAAGAATTTTCTTTTCATGTCCTTCAAAAGAAATGATTGTGTGATCGCTCTTATTTTATCTTTTTTTTTTTAATTTACAACGATATATTATCAACAAACTCTACAATATCCGTTAAAGTATTATAATTAAACAATTAGTTGCACGTGTTTATTCAAATTAGTTGCTTTCAATTAAATTAGTTGTGTTTATTCACAACATCTTCAATACCAAGAATTAAAACAACATTTTATCTTAAGGTTTGGCATTATTAATCTCGAGTTATTTTACATTTACTGATTTACATGTCAAAATGTTTAGGGAATACAACAAAACATAGCAATTCTTATTTTGAAACTTTCTGTATAATTTAGCCCTGTCGATTTCTTTTATAAAAATTTTAATAAAAATTTAGATTTAAATTAGAGTCCAATATGGTGGTGTTGGAATATTGGAATCCGACCTTATTATTCTAGATAGAAGCCTAATATCCAGCCCATAAGGAGTCCATTAAGTTAAGTCCATTTCAGCACGTTCGGCCATTAGAGTAAAATTGCACCGTCCCCCTTTTCTTATAAATAGAGGTTTTCCCTCGATGTTAACGATTATTTCTTTTCTCCTGCACTAGCTCTGCTTGTACATTCTAAATAGTGAGGAATATGTTAATAAAATGAGAGTTGACTTGAACATCAACATGAAAAGTCCATTATTTTCACCATTTCATGTTTCCACATTAAAATCTAGTGTTCATATAGTTCTATACAATACACACATATTTGTGTTGAATTAGTATCAAACGAGTGGAATTGTGGAAACCGAGTTCCAACCTATATAAGATTATAAGTTAGAAATTGAAATAATGGCTAATGAGTCACCATTAAAAAAATCAAGATTAAGTTAAACTTGATAGCGTAACTAATTGTCTCCAAAATGAGTCAAGGAAAGTAGGATAGAATTTTTTAATTGTGTCAATCACTCAAGCATACCTACCAAAATGAGTCACATACCAGTTTCTTTGTCATATTTCTAAATGTATTGTGGTACACTGGTACTAAGAGCAAAACTACTTATAAATCATACCACACCCTAAGCAGTGCTAAGTAAAAACAAAATCAGGATGCTAAATATATTTAGATACATGTAGCAGCATCTCTATGATCAAACTAGGCTGCTAATATGCAGATTTAGATGAGTTAGCATTGATGATCATAAAACGAGAGATCATCTTCTGGCCCATGCAACCATCCCAGAATTTCATCAACACCCGCAGGAAAATCCAGCAGCAGCTTGATTGCCATCTCTGAGCTATCCTCTTCCTCTACTTTGCAATGCATAGGCATGGTGTAAGAAGAGCAGAAATTCTTTGAAGGTTCATCATTCTGCAGTGTGATCCCAGAACATGACTGAGTTTTGCCAGTTGATGAAGCAGAAGCTTGTGGAATTTCTGGGTTTTGATAAGATTTCTGGAAACGACCACAAAATGATTCTCCTACTTTAGAATTCAAAAGACGCAGAAACGGGTCGCAGTCCATTTTACTCAAAGATTCAACAGAAGGAGACAGCTGCTGGTTTTGATGGTTGGGATGAACTGTCAACCTCCTTAAATGTGAGTTCCAGTAGTTCTTTATGTCATTATCTGTTCTTCCTGGCAGATGGGAGGCTATGGCAGACCACCTAAAGATTTTTCAACCATTAGCCATAAGAGAAGACTATAACTACGGAACACAAAAAACTTGGCAAAAACCTTACTTGTTACCAAGAACACTATGAAGTTGAATGATAGTGTTAATTTCTTCTGCACTGAATTCACCACGCTTAATATTGGGGCGAAGGTAGTTTGCCCACCTAAGCCTACAACTCTTTCCACATCTGAGCAGACCTGTAATCTTATCAATCTAGGTTACAATGAATATATAGTACTACTTAACTGTAAAGAATATATGCAATTCAAGCAAAAAAACATAGTGGCAATTTTGAATGCAAGATGTCCTTGTTGCAGAAACTTTATAAGAAAGAAGAATGAGAGGACCTGTAAGTGATAAATAAGTCTAATAGTTCGTTTTTCCTCAATCATTCACTATTTTAACCAGTAAGCTCGTAATAATTGTCTAATTTGGTAACCCATTTAGATTGTTTATTATAATTTCATTATTAAGACCATTCAGCCATTTATGCTCCCAACTCCACATACCGACATTCTTTGAAGTTCCAAAGTATAATCAGTTTAGACTTAAGAGGTACAACCGTACAAATCTACAAGGTACAACCCAATACATAGAATCTACAGTATGATTTTCAAGATTTGGGAATTAAAGGGAAAATCAAGAACCATAAAGTTGTGCTTTTTTAAGGAATGGAAAACACACCTGCAAGTTTAGGGAGAGATCTCCAGTTACCATGTCCATTGTTAGTGATGTAGTCAACAAGAATCTTGTCCTCTTCAGGTGTCCATACTCCTCTCCTTAACCCTTCCTTGTTACAGCAAGGTTTTCTTCCCATTCTATCGTTCTTACTCTCCACTCTTCACCTTCATTTTCATTTTCAAATAGGCACCCAGGAAAAATTTCATCACAAGAGAATAAAGTAAGAGGGGACTTGAAACAAAAAAAGGTTTTTTTTTAATAATAATTATATGATGCAGGGAGATAATAGTAAGAGGCTCAGAGCAAGAAGCTAATACTCATTAAGCAGTATAGATTTGGACAAATAGGAAAGAGCAAAGACTATATGTCTATATCTCAAGAGTATAAATGCTTCAGGGCTATCTATATTCACAATAATGGAAGCCAGGCCACCATTATCACTTGGTCCCTAAAATTTATTACTACTCCCTCCCTCCCTCTCTGGACTATGAAACACATCCCATTATTAAAAACAATCTGAAGCATTAAATTCAGCAATTTCAGGCTCATAAAGGCAACAAAGATTCCATCTTTCCGACTATAACTCTTTGAGCCAAGATTCTACACCGTCAGATTTTCATTTTTACATCTCAATAAAACAAGCACAGACATTGAGGCCTCGAGGGATTGCAGATGTTTTTTAGGGGAGGGGGGGTGATGGGTAAGAAAGGAGGGGGGGGGGGGGCAGAAAAGAGGGATTACCAAGCAAGAAGGAAGAAGATGGGTGTGGACGATGAGTGAGAGTGAGAAGGGGTGTTTTCCGCTGCTTTTGGGATTTTCTTTGCGCGTTTCATGAGCTGTGTGCTCAGGGCATGCATAGATGGCAGGAAGACGGACAGGGACGGTCAAATTATGTTGACTGTTGACTATTGGAGGAGTCCTCGCTTTGTTTGTTACTCTATGATAGACATCCTAGCTTGAACTCAACTTTTTTTTTAATAAAAAGTGGATTTTATTGATAAAAGAAAGTAGTACAAAGTGTTAAAGGAAATAATAAAAATCAGGATCAGGAATCGAAATGGATAGTGATTTGATTAATAATAAAAATTGTTACTTCATAATATTACTTCTCTTCCATTTGATTGTCTAAAAAATTTTGTCACTTTTCCATTAAAGAAAATATTTTATAGTTTTGCTCATTTCTCTCTCCTCTATACAAATTTCAACCATACAATTTTTGCAATTCGATTTTATTTTTCACCTAAATCAAAGAGTGCAAAGTTCATTGAGAAAGAGAGGTAGTATTTTAAAAGAAAAGTAATTTGAAGAAGTAAAAGATAAAGTGGCGAGTATAAAAATATTTTTCGAGTAATTGCAAAGTGAGAAGCTATTAAAACTTAAAAACACATTCCCTTACTTTTAGCTTTGAACTTTAAATTGTTTAACCTTTGACCTTAACTAGAAGCACATATTTCAAAACAATACTTTAAGCAATAGAAAACATTGCCCAATTATGAGCCTGTTTGCTAGCACGAAAATCGATTGATTTGGTTGATTCTGCTGAAATTTATGAAGTTTTGATTGAAGTGACTGCATTGGCCGATCCCGCTGATTTAAGGGAAAAAATTAAAATATATTTTATTAATAAAATAAAGAAAAAATTATATGTAAAATAGCTAAAATGGTCATCTAGAGTAACTTCAGCCAATATAGCCAGAAAAGTAACTTCAACCTTACTTTTTCTATTTATTACACAATTCAGCGCGCGAAAGCAAAAATTACATGTTTGGTGAAAAAGTTGGTCGATAAGTCTAATAAGCCGAAAAACAGTGTTGCTAAATGTCATCTCTACACTTGCATTACACACAAAAGGTCAAGAGGTTGTCATCAGATTGAATGAGCATTACCTTTTTTTGTTCCAAAAGGTTGAATAGAGCCCCGCACTTTCATCTGACAAGGCATCTGAGAGGATGCAAATCAGGGTGACTCAGTCAGCTAAATAGTGGTAGATCTTATACATGTGAGTTTCAGAAGTCAACCAAGCACATAGGAGTTGTAACCTTTACACGGTTGTTGCGGCCTTGCGGGTTTCAATCCTTAGTCAATGTTCAAATTATTGCACCACTCAACCAACTAAGCTACTTATGCGGGTAAGAGCATTACATTCTCATTGTGACTAAGAATGTTTTTAATTGACTAGAAATGCTCTGATTTGATCCGATCTATTTAGTTCTGGTATGATATGGTATGATCTGAACTAGTCTTATCTGATCCGGTAATATTTGATATATTTGTATTTTATAACTACTAGCATTGATCTGGTTTGATTTGTTATAGTCTGGTCTATTTAAGTCTTATTTGGTCTGTTTTGAGACTTAAATAAATACAAGTAAAAACATGCAAAGGTGTATTGGAAAGATTATGCCTTGAACCCAAATAAGGTATCTTGAATTCAATACCTTGAACCCAAAAAAGTTCGCCAAATTGACGTTTCTTGATCAATTACAATCAACTTTGACCAATGATATTTCTTAATATGAAAAAATCTTTTCAAAATTATATCAACATGTTCCCCCTTCTTCAAAATGTTTTCATAAAAGTTAAAATTTATAATTTATATACAAATATAAGCATTAATCAAAGTATACAAAATATTCCATCATTGACCAAGAAAAGTCAATATGACAAACCCCTTTTCCGGACTAAGGTAGTACCTCCTACGAGCTCGTTTTGATAACCCCAATTTTCAGTTTATTAATCTTATCAACCATTTTTCCCCCTAAATACGTAAATATAAGAAAAGTCGGTATGTCAAACCTTTTTCGCGTGTTAAACTGTGTTATAATAAAACCAAGTAAGGGTAAAGTTACTTTTCAGGTTATGTTGACTGAAATTCCCGAAGAAGACCATTTTTAGGTATTTCTCATGTAAGTTTTTCTTTATTTTCCTAATAAAATATATTTTAAATATTATTTTTTCACAATTCAGCAGATTCAATCAACTCATTTGGAATATCACCAATTTCAATAAATTTAACCAATTTAATCAATTTGTGGATTTTCAAATAGTATATCTAAAATGCCTTACGATAAAAAAAATAGTGCTTCCTCCGGTTCTTAATTAAGTTCCTAGTTTGACTTCACACATATTAAGGGGGTGTTTGGATCTGATTCTCAAAACTGATTCTGCTCCTTCAGGGAGCAGAAGAAGAAGCTGGAGTGTTTGGGTGAAATTCCAGAAGCACTTCTGGAGCTCAAATTTACTCTCAGAATCAGTTTTTTTAGAAGCTGGGGGGTACCAGCTTCTGAAAACTGATTCTGATTCTTCTTCTGCTTTTAAAAAAAGAAGCAGAAGCAGAATCAGTTCCAAACACCCCCTAAGAAATAAATTTGACTTTACTGTGGAGTGCACTGTTTGGCACTGTTTGACACTGTTTGACACTATTTTGGTGTAAATCATTTGTCAAATAAGGAAAGGTTTGAAGTAAGAACTTTAATATGGACTATCCCAAAAAGGAAAGTAGGAACTTAATTACGGGACGGAGGAAGTATATCTAAAATAACCCATTCTAGGATTTATAATAAATGACTACGTATAAATTGAAATTTGTACTCCCTCCGTCCCTTATAACTTTGCCAACTTTCCTTTTTTGGATGTCTCATTAACTTTGCCACTTTCTCATTTAAGTAAAGAATTTGTGGTTCCTATTAATTCTCTCTCCTCTGCACAAACCTCTACCACACAGTTTTTACTTTATTAATCCCCGTGCCAGTCAAACTTGGCAAAGTTATTAAGGACGGAGGGAGTATATGGACTATGGAGTTGTTTGGAAAATGGCGTTTCAGTCAAAAATGATGGTTAGACCTATTTTAGCATTTTCAATACATGAAAACGCAATTTGTTAGATAGTTGTTCGGCCCTAGCACTTTTGGACGGAACTACTAAAAATGGAAATGTTGCAAATCGGAGAGTTTTGGATTAGCGTTTTGGAAAATTGAGTTTGTACTAATTTTTAAGATTAAACAGCTAAATTATCAAACATCTTCTGACAACTAGCAAACTTATTCCGCTAGTCAAACTTGCTGACTGAATCCGCTATTAAGAACCTGCTAACATAATCCTTTATCCACTAACCGCTTACCGCCAATCGCTAAATGCCAAACACGCCTGGTATCCGCCGTGCTAGAACGTTGTTAAATTTGCCACTATCGAATTCGCCAACGTAACATGGTTAAATTTGTAAATTGTTAGCTTTGTAAAGTAATGCGAGCAACACTTTTCTTATTTTAAAAAAATTCAATTGTCTTTAATATTTTTATTTTTTATTTTTATTTTTCTCTATCGTTTTTACACATGTCCTACACTATTTACTACGGAGTATTTCAATTATCTCGCCCTTAAACTATGTGGAAACTGGAAAGTCTAATATCTCAAATCAATATATATATATAGGAGTAATTTTTTAAGAGCATACGACGCGCCACATAATCCTGCCATGTCATCATATATAATAATTATTGAGTATATAAATATCTTTTTATACCTTCTATTTTTTATTACATTCTATTTTTATTGCATATTGATATGGAAACAAATGAGATGAAATCCGTCTTATTTGATAATTTTTTGAGAACTTATTACAGAGTACTTATTAATTTGGATAGTTATTACATTTAGAAATTGGAATCTACCTTATTTGGATATTTTATACTACATATCAATTACTCCCTCTGTATTTAAAAGTTCATTACAATTTCTTTTTTTGGGATGTATTTAAAAGCTCCCACACTTTCCCTTTTTGGTAGATTTTTCTTTAAATGTACTCAATTACCATTACTTTTTCTACTTTTTATCGTCTATTTCCTACTTTTTCATCTGCTCTCATACTTTTTCTATACTATTCATTACCCTTACTAAGCTATTCTATTGAAGAAATAAATTATCCGTGTTTTGCCCACCCAATAGATAAACCAACCAAATTCCTATTAATATTGTTCTTCAATGTTATTTTATACACTTGATGTAATATAAAATCGTTTGATAATACTAAAGTTTAGTATTTTATTTATGTAAAATATTTTTTTTACATTGAGTAATGATCCATTTCTTACATTTTCAATATGACGAGATAATGAACAAAATGTTAAAACTTAAAATACTTATTTCATACCATTTTGAATGAGAAATATTAAAAAAAAAAGTGTTTTGAGATGCTTGATAAAGTAATTTAAAGTATGTGAGATAAATTAAAAATCTTTTTTTGTGAATTCTTTAAAATCATAACAATTATGTTTAATTAGTTGAGATGCTTATGTAGAAGTCCATTTTTAAATAAAAAAATCATACAATTTTTATTTTATTTTATTAATGATATACGTAGTTTGTTTTTTTGCATAATTCGGGAGATTCCATTAATTCAGTCTAATCAGTTAGATCTAATTCATTACAGTAGAATCAGACGATTCAACTATTTTTAGTATTATCAAACGACTTAATATTAAACCAAGTTTATTTTTCTTTTGTATCACATTAAGAGCCCGTTTGGTAACATCAAAATCGACTGAATCGGCCGATTCTGCTGAAATTTATAAAATTCTGGCTAAAGTGACTGCATTGGCTGATTTTGCTGATTTATGTAAAAAAAAAATTATATTTAAAATATACTCTATTAATTAAATAAAGAAAAGATTATATGAAACATAGATTAAATGGTTCTCTACAGTAACTACAGTTAATACATCCGAAAAAGTGACCCTGACCCTACGTTTTGATAACCCAAAAAATGTGGTTATCAAATGAGCTCTAAATTAGTAAATTATACTACGTATATGATTTCGAAGACAATCAATTTCACATTAGCTAAATTATGTACTACCCGTGCATCGCACGGGCTTGAAAACTAGTATTTGAATAAGGGGGGAATATATAAACATATTTGTTGAAATTACATGACGTGCTAAAAATATATCACAGTAAATAAAAGGGGTAATTTGAGTTTGTCAGTTTGCACCCCAATTTATTGTCTAAATTGGACTTTGCACCCCATTTTTAAAACTCTTTGTTTTTGCACCTCAACCCCATATGAAAAGACAAAATTGTCCCTCCATTAACAATTTTGTTGGCCTTCAACATATTCCTGATTGAGGGCCTTTTTGTCTCTTCATATGGGGTTGGGGTGCAAAAACAAAGATTTTTAAAAATGGGGTGCAAAGTCCAATTTAAATAATAATATGGAGTGCAAACTAAAATTATCCCTAAATAAAATAGATGATGCTATTTTGAGAAATCAAGAAAAGCAGATAATGATTGCCAATTTAACACCCTTCAAATAGTAAACTAATAACTTGGAAGGGAGGAATTATTTAATTAGTACTTCCGTCAAACAAACCAAGACAAAATGCAAAATTGCAACCATTGCATTATCCCATTTAATTAATTGAGGGCACGCCTAGAGATTCTGTAAAGTTTAATAATATTTTATATACTTCCGTATTTGGGAATATATTCTATTTTCCTCTGGATTATAATCCCGACTTTATAATAAACTTTTGCAAAAAACACCTTAGTTGCCAAGTTTTATTCTTATATCCACTTCCCCCTATAAAGTCCCACATTCTTGCAGACATTTTTCACAAATCTTAAAAAAAGTCCACCTCAAAAGCCCAAAACAAGAAAAAGGTCAATAGGTAATTTGCATAGTAATTATATTCACAGATTAAAACAATCCTAGATGGCTAGATATTGATCAAAACTGTCCATATTTTTAGTCATTTTTACTTCTTTAGCAGATATTGGTATCCACTGTCATATTTCCAAAAAATGAAGCATAAACCCTTAACCTTGATTATATCTATGGCTAGGAATGGTGAAGTTTACAATAATTGGAAGGGTGAGAGATGGAATGGCACTTGCAGCAGGTAAGAGATATGTGAATGAAGAAAATGATACTTTCACCACTTACAAGCAACAAGGAGAGTTCATTCTCCAAGAAATCTCAAGAGGGGACTTGCCTTCTTCCAACATGACCATTCATGTAGATCACCATTACTTCAGGTATAATCAATTCCCATATCAATTCTTAACTTCTGTTCAATACTTCAATCTTAGTTCTTGTTTGGCAATGGTCAATTGAATTTTTTACAAGGACTTTAATTATTATGCTGATAAGCAAATCCAGATTAGCAATAATGCTACCAAACAGTGCTTTGCTAAAGCAAGTTCCTTTTAGCAAAGGCAAAGGACAACTCAAAAAGCACAATTTTAGTTTGATCACCTTATCATTAAGGATAACATATAGCAAATTAAATTGCCAAAGAAGATATCCAATTTTCTTTATGAGAATTATACTCTCTACCAATATACTTTGAGTAATTACTTCTATCTTCACCATGTGGTTTGAAGGATTATGGTTGAAAGTGGAGTATGTTTTATGACACTGTGTGACTCATCCTATCCAACAAAGCTAGCATTCCATTACCTCAAAGATTTACAACGGGAGTTTGACAAGTTGGATAGGACACTTATGGAGAGAGTTTCTAATCCATATAGCTTCCTAAGACTTGGTATACATATCTATATACTAACTCAACATCAAAGTATAGTACACAATCTCAAGGACAAATGCGAGAACAGAAATCGGATTTTATTATTTCCATTGCAGATACAATCATTGGCAGTGTTGGAAAGAAATATGTTGATCCAAAGACACAAGCAAATATATCAAAGATGAAAACTGAAATTGGAGAAGAACTAGATGTCATTACAGATGACATGTCAGAAATAATAGCCCGAAAGCAAAAGCATGGTAAGATTACCATTCATAAACCTTTACATATCAATGCTGTTGTTTCCAGTTTGATAATGTTCAGTGTAGAAATAAGGAATTCATTGGTTTTTTGGAGACCTCCTTGTATAGAAGTAAAAATAGGTGCTTCCCATGAATACGAGTACTGTGTTTTATTTTGTAAATAAAAGTAAAGTATTTCATCCTGAAAACTGAAAATGTACTGTCATCCCTGGATTATACTTCTATGTAGTACTCCTAGTTATGGAAACCAAGGGTAATTTATATTTTTTTGCCATTGTTACCAGAGATTCTGGAGAAAATGAAAAAAGCAAACTTGAGTGATTCTCCAATCTGGGGTTCAAAAATGCTTGAGGTATGTCATTTGTGAGAATGTGTTGATGCTAAAGTTCATATATATGCCAAGGATTTGACACATTTTCTTGTCCGATTAGATCATTGCTGTGAAATGGATTCCCATTGGTATACTTGTTAATGTAGCTGTTCTTCTTCTTTGGAGCAGTTCCGTTTTCAAGGATGAATTCCAGTGATTGGTCTTAAGGATTACAGTAATGTTGTATAGGTTGAAATGATGAAGTAGTCACATACTCACATGAGCAGTGCTACAAGAAAACCATGAGTCTCCCATTGATATGCAATGTCCATATGCAATTTCCAGTAAATACCCTCTCTATGTATATGAATTCCAAATGAATTTTTTTTCATTCATCAACCCTTGCACTGTGAAGAAGGTGACATTGTTGTCTTAGAAATATTCTTGATGCATCCTTTGTTTTTGTAATGGAGAATGAGTAAAATTAGAATTACAAACTCTAAGTTAAAAATGATAAACTCACTCTTATATAAACTCCGCCTAATTGTAATACTATCCTTCGTTTTTTGTTGCAACATAGAAAATTTACAATATTCACATGCTCTACTTTCATTACATTTTATTTATTAATATATAAAGATTATTTTTTTAAAAAAAATATTATTGAATTCGTTTCATTACAAATTTTCATAATTTGATTTTAATTTTTTAGGAATAGAAGATCAAATATAATGACGATCAAAGTTTTGTCTTGGCTAGTGCTAAAATGGGAATATTACAACTAAAATGTGTACTCTTGACCCACGAGAGATTAAAATATGTACACACGAGAGCTCGTTGCCCTCATGAGTTAAAAATAAAAAAGGCACGACTTTAGATTACCCATTCAAATGACATTACATCTCCATTATAGGAGTACGTAGGCATTCAAACGACATTTCAAACTATGTTTGACGGTCCAAAAGATTCATTTTGAGTTCACTCATAAGTCATAACAAACACAAACCTGAATCAAATTATGTTGAAGAAGGTAATATTCAATCATCTGAAGCAAAGAGAATGACAATTCATGTATAGCTTGGAGAAAAGTAAAGAAGAAAGACATGGTCTAGCTAAAAGGTAATCTAAATCTAAGTAAGAACAAGTTCAATCTAAAAGCAACTAAAAGTTGACTTGATCATCCTTCATGGCCTCTAGCTCCTTTTTATTGGTGATTAGAGCAAGTCGATCTTCATCATATACTTTGACAATCTTCACAATTTCTAAAATATCCTCCTCAACCTTCGAAAGAGAAGTCTCTAAATAAATAACCATGTCACGGAGTTTATAAACCAAAGCTTCATTTTCTTTAGCTTCAGCAAGTGCCATCTTCACCACTTCTTTCAACCGAGTTATCTTCGCATTCAATAAATTTAACTTCGGAAGGATGACATTAAATAATGTCATTTGATTTTGAGATATCCGAGCTTCTATATTCTCACAAAAAGCTCGTGATGTAGCCGGTTCGTGAACACCCTCACACTTTATGTCTCTAAAGAACACCATTTTCGCACTGCAATGAGCTAAAACGTTAACGGTGCATACGTGGCATGAGAAATAACCAATCAAAAAACAATATATAGAATATCCCTCTCCTTGTTTGAAGGATCTTACATCATTTTGGTAAGTTTTTCTTCACAATGTCAAAAACAATGTAAAAAAAGGAGAGAGAAATGTCATAAAATCAATATTTTGTGTCTATATCTCTCATGCCACATGTGTATCGTGCACATTGTAGCATTGGAGATGCTCTTAATTAAAAAAGAGGGGGCTTCCTCATACTTTAAACTTTAAAATAATAAAATAGCTCTAATAGGGGAGTAATAAAATCCCCAAGCATATGAAATTGGGCCATTAAAAAAACGGCCCTCTTCAAGACAGCTCAAGGAATGGGCCAACATAGAAATTCCGAGAGCTTCTTTCCCCCAGCAAATAACGCAATGATTTGCTTGAGAAAAGTGATCCTGGTAGAGAGAATAAGATGAACTAAGAAACGGCTATATTTAAAACGACGAATTAATGGATCTTCTGAAGGTTCAATAGTTGGTCTGGTGAGATTTACCTACTGGTTCAACCATTACGAAAATTATAAAATAGGCCATTAAACCGTATGAGCATAAATTATTGATTTCAATCTCATCAGATAGAGCCCTCCATTTATGCTCATACGGTTTAATGGCCTATTTTATAATTTTCGTAATGGTTGAACCAGTAGGTAAATCTCACCAGACCAACTATTGAACCTTCAGAAGACCCATTAATTCGTCGTTTTAAATATAGCCGTTTCTTAGTTCATCTTATTCTCTCTACCAGGATCACTTTTCTCAAGCAAATCATTGCGTTATTTGCTGGGGGAAAGAAGCTCTCGGAATTTCTATGTTGGCCCATTCCTTGAGCTGTCTTGAAGAGGGCCGTTTTTTTAATGGCCCAATTTCATATGCTTGGGGATTTTATTACTCCCCTATTAAGTTTTGGGTATGTTTCGTTAAGAGTTAATTACCTTAGGTATCAATAAAACTTCTTCACTTTCTCAATCTACGACTTAACTAGTTTTTTTATCAAAATATTATTAACTAGTATCTTTACCCGTGCTGTGCACAGGATAAAACGATTTGATTTAGGTTTACTGTATATGTGTGCGCGCGCTGACATTTTTATGATTTATTATTAGAACTAATAGAAAGTCTCTAGTTTAGTCAATTATAACATTGGTTGATAATGAATATTCTTATTTATTGAGCATGCCCTATTTTTTAACTAATTATCCAAACATTTTCTCACTCTATATTATCCAATTGAGAAAAATAATTAAAATACCCCAAACTATGGAGGGATGTGAGATTAGCACCCCAAACTTGCATATGTAATTTAAATACCCCAAACTTTGTATAAAATGCTATTTTAGCACCATGGTCATGTATCATTTCTTTCAAAAATGTAAATTTATGATGTTAATTGCATAATTTGAAATCAACCGGCAAATAAATTCTAGCTTTGAGACTGAGGGAGCACAATCTAGTAAATTGAAATTTGAAGCACTTTTACTACTTATGCAATGTACAGATACACTTCCCACAAGGGCAAAATTGGGATTTCCCACTAAGCAAATGCCCTCCCGATCGAATTCTTATTGTCGAGATGGTCAGATAAACATAAGGGGTATTCTAAACGGTACTCGAATGTTGTTTGTGCTAAAATCACAACCAAGGTTAATAATTTTAAGGGAAAATGGAAATCAATAATCTAACCTTTTAGCGGTATTCTTTTAATAGTCTGACATTTTCGTTATTCATGAGTAATCTAACCTTTGCACCTCATCTTCATTCACAGGTCCCCGACCGGTTGATGACCTGCTATTCCGAGTTATTTATCTTATCTCTGCAAACTATTATACCATAAATTCCACCTTTCACAAAGATAGTATTTTGCAAAGATAAAAAAATAACTTGGAATAACAGGTCATCAACCGGTCGGGGACCAGTGAATGAAGATGAGGTGCAAAGGTTGGATTATTCATGAATAACGAAAAGGTGGGACTATTAAAAGAAGACCGCTAAAAGGTTGAATTATTAATTTCCATTTTCCCTAATTTTAATTGATTCGAAGTGTTTAAAAATTACTCCCTTCGTACATTAAAAATTTTCCAAGTTGACCGGCATGGAGAATAATTATGTAAAAACATGTAATTGTTATTTTTGATGAGGAGGAAGAATTAATAGGAACCATATAATTGTTTAAAATGGAACTGACAAAATTTATGGGACGACCAAAAATCACTTGCTTAAAATACTACTCCTTCCGTATCTAATTAAATTGCCCCGTTTGCTTTTCACGCAGTTTAAGAGAATTACTGTAGACCTTATAAAAATAAGAGGTTTTTGTAATGTAGTGGTACTGTAGCGGTATCATAGTGGTATTGTAGCTACGTTTTGAGTGAATTTCTTTCCAAAAAAGGAAATGAGACAATGAATTTGATACAAACAAAAAGGAAAGTCAGACAACTAATTAGATACACAGGGAGTATATTAACCAACCTTTACCGAATTCCCAACATCTTCATTTTGAATCAATGGAGTGTCATTACACCAGCCTAAAGCCGCTATTGAATGCGATAATAGTATTAGTAAACTTGTTTATTACGAAGTATTAGACTTTGGAAGCTAACTTTATACTGGGCGTGAAATAAAAACGTAAAAATGTGTGATTTATGTTTATGCAAAGGAGAGCAAAACAAATTGAATCACAAATTTGTTATTTCAAAAGTAAACCAACAAAGTTTTTAGGACAAATAAAATATAAATTTTGAAAAATAATTTAAACGGAATGAAGGGAGTTTAAAATAAAATAAATCGACCGCTACCAATGGCGTTATGCAGCCAGACTGTCATTGCCGCCATTACCTTCATTGAAATAAAAAAGTCACAAAATTATGTATTCTAATTAATTCTTCTCTTAAAGAAGGAGATAGAAGGACTAATTTGCTCAATTCTAAATCCTAGAAGGGCTAATATTTAAAAAAAAGACCACACCATTATTAAATAAATAAATTACAAAAATGAGTGGTTATTAGTTTTGAAAAAACAGTGAGGCTACAGATGAAATCTAATGGCTAAAAATAGGCATTGAGCAATTTATTTTTTTTGTTTATATAAAGATGTTTGAAAAGACGAAATTCATTTGGATGCAACAGAAGCTTTTAAAAGATGTGCTTTTTAATTGGATAATATATACTGACAACATGTTTAGATATTTAGTTAAAAATAAGACATATATACTCAATAAATAGGAAAAATGGAAACTAATAATCCAACATTTTAGCGGTCTTCTTACAATAGTCTCATCTTTTCATTATTCATGAATAATCCAACCTTTGCATCTTATCTTCATTCGCTGGTCCCTGACCGGTTAATGACTTGATATTATAAGTTATTTTCTTATCTTTGCAAAATATTATCTATGTCTAAGGTGAGATTTATGATATAATGGTTTGCAAAGATAAGAAAATAACTTGGAATAGGAGGTCATCAACCGGTCAGGGACAAGTGAATGAAGATAAGGTGCAAATGTTGGATTATTCATGAATAATAAAAAAATGGGATTATTGTAAGAAGACCGCTAAAATGTTGGGTTATTAGTTTCTATTTTCCCCAATAAATAAGATTTTTTTTACTCCAGAGCCCGTGTGGGGGATAGTGTTGGGGGGCCTGAGTAATCAAGACTGAAACTCACTTTATTGAGTTTCGAACCCGAGAAATCCCGTAAGGGAAAGTGAGTCGGTGACCAACTGGACTGGAACGCAAAACTAAATAAGTGACTTTACGTTAATTCTAATAAGGCATACATATGACAATGCACGTGTACACATGTTAAAACTAAAATTAGTCATTTTTTCCCGTGCACGGCACAAGTAAATATAATAAATATTTATAAATCATTTTCCTATCAATTATCCATATTTTGGTCATATATTAAAAAGTCATTTTCTTAGGAGACATTCCAATTTTGATTGTGATTTTTTGGATATTCCAATTTTGATAGTGTTTTTTTTTAAGTTTTTGGATATTCCAATTTTGATTGTGATTTTTAAAGCGTGTTATTTCTAGTGCTCGTTAATTAGAAACAGAAAGCTTTACATTAATTTTGATTTTTAAGAAATTCCAATTCTGTTGAACTCTAATTCTGATCTATCTTAGTTCGAATTTTTAGCAATTCAAATACTAATCTACATAAGAGTTTTTTAAAGTGCAAGGTTTTAGGAGTTTTAACTACGTACTAAAAACTTTTTGGAGTAATAATCTACGAATAAGTATTCTAGATTTTAGGGAGCTTTTAATTGCTTCTAAGTTATTAAACATATTTTTTCAAAAGAATTGCTTAGAGAATGACATGTGTCAAAACTTTCCATAATTGTATCTCTCAAATGTATTATCTATAGATATTTAATTAAATTCGTAATAATTAATTAAATAAAAAATATAGTTGGACAAATATACCTTTATGTTATATTTACAAAACCCTAACCTCCTACACTTTTCTCCAACCCTAGCCTCCACTCTCCCACCTTCAAAGATCCATCGGCCTGCCTCCATCCACCATCCTGCGTAGCTAACCCACGCCTCTGCCTGTTGCCACCCCATGGCCAGCCGTCAGCCGCCGTCCAAGAGCAAGATCGTCTGCCAAATTCATCCAGCCGTTGCTGCCGTCCAGGCCATGGCCCGTCTTCTACTGCAATGATTTGATCCGCGATGCAGGTACTTGGTTCAACAAGTCCCGCAAGAGTTATCCAGCGTGGTTGTTCGAGGAAGAGAGGTTGTGTAGTACGTCTTCATCTTCAAAAAGGAAAAAAGAATATAGGGAGTATATATTACTCCCTCCGTTCTTTAATAAAAGTCCTTCTT